AGTAGTATCGAAACTTCTGGATGATTTCAATAATATATTTTATTTCTTGACTCTCTCTCTCTCTCTCGAAATTATTTCATATATTTGTTACACTGCAATGCATGTTGAGGTTCTTAGAACCGTGAATTATCTTATCATTCAAAAAGCCTTATAAAGATGTATTTATTCATTTAAAAGGCGAAATACAATTAATTATTCCTTCTTTTTCGATTTTATTAAAGATGTTGCGAAATAGGATTGAAACTCTCTTCTGTAAATGATTTCAATAATATATTTTATTTCTTGACTATCTTTAGAAATTATTTTTATTATTTTATATATTTGTTACTCTAATACCTGTGTATTAGCTCTGACAGAGCCTTGAATTATCTTATTTGATTGTCAATCAAAGAGCTTTATAACGCTACGGAAAAATATTATTTCCGGAGATCGACGAATCAGTTGAGGAGAAAAGTGGAGGGCGCGGCAAGGGAAACGCCAAGTTACGTTTCAACGATATTGCCGCGATATTCGTTCGCTGAATAGCAAACGATCCCGCATCCGATCGTCATGAAAGCACGAGGAAAAACACGTTACGCGAGTGAAAAAATGTTTCGAAACGAATATCGGAATTTGCGCGAATATCAGCTGCGTTTCAAACGAGCAGGAATGCACGGTGAGGTGCGACACATTCATTTTTGACGCAAAGTAATTAGGCGCGCGTGAGATTAAAATGGGATAAAAGGACAGACCGGCGCGTCTCTCGCGTGTGATGTGTGATCGTGCCAATTGCAACTTGAATCCGTGCGGATACCCGCGATCATCGAGAGCGTCATCGTTCTGCCCGCGTAACAACGTTATTAAAACTCGCGTAAGCCTAAAGCCGCAGCCGTGCTCGCTTTGAAAGCCCGGGCTTATTATATGCATGGATAGCCGAGCATCCGGATAATAACAGTCTTATTCGCTTTGAATAATTTTGCCGGCGTTTCAAAGTCCAGAGAGCTAACCGGCAGTCCACCCTCAAGCGTCCTCCCCCTCCCCCGACCCCGCCATCGTGTCCAGAAAACTTTCGATTCGGCGTACGTCGTTATTAAGCGCACTTCGTAATTAGCCACCGCTAATAACTCACACGGATTCACGCGATACGCGTGCACTTACACACGGAAGCGAAGAACGGAGCAAGGGCGATTTCCATGGGAAAATATATATATATATATATATATATATATATATATATATATATATATATATAGACAAAGATGCGGAGGAGAGACGAAGGACGGGAAGACGGAGGACGGGAGTACGAACGGGCGGCCCCAAGAATGCCATTGTGCTTTACAATATCCACGAGCTATGAGCAAGGTTATTAAAGGGCTGAGGTCGCGTCTAAGGTTAAGGGGAAAAGATGGCTGCGGCCGCGGGACCTTTCCAGAGAGAAAGAGAAAGAGAGAGAGAGAGAGAGAGAGAGAGAGAGAGAGAGAGAGAGAGAGAGAGAGA